AGAACAACTCATCGAGAATTGCAAGGACGTTCTCGGAGTCGCCCCCGTTTATAAGGACGTTGCGATCCCCACCGGGCCCCAGACAACAATCGACGCCCGAGGCAATATTGCGTATAAGGAGGTTCCTCGTGTGAGCGCCCGGAAATTGGAGCATTACGTCAAGCAGATGGCTGAGGGCGGTCCCATCTCTGAATACAGCAACCGGACCAAAGTGCAGAATGACCTCAAGAGTGTCTACAAGCTGATTCGTAAGCAACATCGCATGTCCAAGTCCTCCCAGCTTCAATTCAATGCGCTTTACAAGGAAGTCATTCGCGCTCTGAGCATGAACGAGAACCAAATCATGCCACAGGAGAACGGCCAGGCCAAGAAAGCAGGTCGGAATGGTCTCAAGCGCAATGGCAGCCCTAGAGCTGGTAAGGTCGAAACTATACCTTTCCTGCACCTCAAGAAGAAGCACGAGCACGGGTGGGAATACAACAAGAAGCTCACGGGTATCTACTTGGATGTGCTCGAGTCCGCTGCTCGGTCGGGTTTGACCTTCCAGGGCAAGAATGTCCTGATGACCGGTGCTGGTGCTGGCTCTATTGGAGCTGAGGTTCTGCAAGGTCTGATTAGCGGTGGCGCCAAGGTGATTGTAACAACAAGCCGATTCTCTCGGGAAGTCACCGAATACTACCAAGCCATGTACGCTCGTTATGGTGCGCGTGGTTCTCAGCTCGTGGTGGTGCCATTCAACCAAGGCAGCAAGCAGGATGTGGAAGCTTTGGTTGACTATATCTACGATACAAAGAAGGGTCTTGGCTGGGACCTGGACTTTGTCGTGCCGTTCGCCGCGATTCCGGAGAATGGCCGGGAGATCGACTCTATCGATTCCAAATCTGAACTCGCCCATCGCATCATGCTGACCAATCTTCTGCGACTCCTGGGTTGCATCAAGACCCAGAAACAGACTCATGGCTTTGAGACCCGACCGGCACAGGTCATCCTTCCCTTGTCTCCAAACCACGGCACATTTGGGAACGACGGTTTGTACTCTGAGTCCAAACTTGCTCTGGAGACTCTCTTCAATCGCTGGTACTCGGAGAATTGGAGTAACTACCTCACCATTTGCGGTGCCGTCATTGGATGGACTCGTGGCACAGGCTTGATGAGTGGCAACAACATGGTCGCTGAAGGTGTGGAGAAACTCGGCGTCCGCACTTTCTCGCAGCAAGAAATGGCATTCAATTTGCTCGGTCTGATGGCACCTGCAGTCGTCAACCTCTGTCAGCTCGACCCGGTCTGGGCTGACCTCAACGGTGGCCTTCAATTTATCCCCGACCTGAAGGGTCTCATGACCAAGCTCCGGACAGACATTATGGAAACAAGCGATGTTCGCCAAGCGGTTATCAAGGAAACTGCAATTGAAAACAAGGTTGTCAATGGTGAGGAAAGCGAACTTCTATACAAGAAGGTGATCGCAGAGCCTCGTGCGAACATCAAGTTCCAATTCCCCACTTTGCCAGATTGGGAGCAAGAAGTGAAGCCCTTGAACGAGAGTCTCAAGGGCATGGTCAACCTGGACAAAGTTGTCGTCGTTACCGGTTTCGCTGAAGTTGGTCCCTGGGGTAACTCCCGTACCCGTTGGGAAATGGAGGCTTACGGCAAATTCTCGCTTGAGGGCTGCGTCGAGATGGCTTGGATCATGGGCCTCATCAAGCACCACAACGGCCCACTGAAGGGCAAGGCCTACTCTGGTTGGGTCGACGCGAAGACTGGTGAGCCAGTTGATGATAAGGATGTCAAGGCCAAGTACGAGAAGCACATTCTGGAGCATTCAGGCATTCGACTCATCGAGCCAGAACTCTTCAAAGGCTACGACCCCAAGAAGAAGCAGCTTCTTCAGGAGATCGTCATTCAGGAAGATCTTGAGCCTTTTGAAGCTTCGAAAGAGACTGCGGAGGAGTTCAAGCGCGAGCATGGCGAGAAGGTTGAAATCTTTGAGCTTCCGGAGTCCGGAGAATTCACGGTCCGCCTCAAGAAGGGAGCGACCCTTCTCATTCCTAAAGCTTTGCAGTTCGATCGCCTTGTTGCTGGCCAGATCCCCACTGGCTGGGATGCGAAGAGATATGGTATTCCCGATGATATCATTGAGCAGGTTGATCCTGTAACCCTGTTTGTACTTGTTTGCACAGCCGAAGCTATGTTGTCGGCCGGTGTCACTGATCCCTATGAGTTCTACAAATATGTGCACCTGTCTGAAGTTGGAAACTGCATTGGTTCAGGCATTGGTGGCACCCATGCTTTACGAGGAATGTACAAGGATCGATACCTGGACAAGCCTCTCCAGAAGGACATTCTGCAGGAGTCTTTCATCAACACAATGAGCGCCTGGGTTAACATGTTGCTCCTTTCCTCTACCGGACCAATCAAGACCCCTGTGGGTGCGTGCGCCACAGCTGTGGAGTCTGTTGACATCGGATACGAAACGATTGTTGAAGGCAAGGCCCGGGTTTGCTTTGTTGGCGGTTTTGATGATTTCCAAGAGGAAGGTTCATACGAATTTGCCAACATGAAAGCCACCAGCAATGCAGAGGATGAGTTTGCTCATGGCCGTACCCCGCAAGAAATGTCCCGACCCACAACTACGACACGTGCCGGTTTCATGGAGTCGCAGGGCTGCGGTATGCAGCTCATCATGAGTGCCCAACTTGCCCTAGACATGGGAGTGCCTATCTATGGTATCATTGCCCTGACTACGACAGCAACTGACAAGATTGGTCGCTCCGTTCCCGCCCCCGGCCAAGGTGTTCTGACCACTGCGCGCGAAAACCCGGGCAAATTCCCGTCGCCTTTGCTGGATATCAAGTACCGTCGCCGCCAGTTGGATCTGCGTAAGAAGCAGATTAAAGAGTGGCAAGAGTCCGAACTGCTCTATCTTCAAGAAGAGATTGAAGCCATGAAAGCCCAAGGCCTCGCGTCATCGGAGCTGTCCGATTACATGCAAGAACGTGCCGGGCACATTGAACGGGAGGCCGTGCGGCAAGAGAAGGATGCTCAATTCAGCCTGGGCAACAACTTCTGGAAGCAAGATTCTCGTATTGCGCCTCTGCGCGGTGCACTTGCTACCTGGGGTCTCACGGTCGACGATATCGGTGTTGCTTCGTTCCACGGTACTTCTACGGTTGCAAATGACAAGAATGAGTCCGATGTCATCTGCCAGCAGATGAAACATCTGGGCCGTAAGAAGGGAAATGCCGTGCTTGGTATATTCCAGAAGTACCTTACTGGTCACCCCAAGGGTGCTGCGGGTGCATGGATGTTCAATGGTTGCCTGCAGGTTCTGGACAGCGGTCTGGTACCTGGCAATCGCAATGCAGACAATGTGGACAAGGTCATGGAGAAGTTCGATTACATTGTTTATCCCAGCCGTAGCATCCAAACGGACGGAATTAAAGCGTTCTCGGTCACCTCTTTCGGTTTCGGTCAGAAGGGTGCTCAGGTTATCGGTATTCACCCCAAGTACCTCTACGCCACCCTGGATCGCTCTCAGTTCGAGGCATACAAGGTGAAGGTTGAGTCACGCCAAAAGAAGGCGTATCGCTTCTTCCATAATGGCCTGATCAACAACAGCATCTTTGTTGCTAAGAACAAGGCGCCCTATGAAGATGACATCCAGAGCAACGTTTTCCTCAACCCTGACTACCGAGTGACCGTCGATAAGAAGACATCCGAGTTGAAGTTCCCCTCCTCGCCTCCAAAGGTCAGTGACAAGGATGCTGAGAGCACCAGACAGGTGGTTGAGTCGCTCGCGAAGGCTCATGCCGAAGAGAACTCCAGGATAGGGGTAGATGTGGAGAGCATCGATGCTGTCAACATTGAAAATGAAACCTTCATTGAGAGGAACTTCACGGCTAGTGAGCAAGAGTACTGTCGCAAGGCACCATCGCCGCAGTCATCATTCGCTGGCCGATGGAGCGCCAAGGAGGCAGTTTTCAAGTCGTTGGGCGTATGCAGCAAGGGCGCCGGTGCACCTCTGAAAGATATCGAAATCTTGAGTGATGCGAGCGGAGCCCCTGTGGTCAACGTAAGTTTATCCCATTCTCACAACCCCAGGTTCTTAGTCCACCACTAACATTTTCCTAGCTCCACGGCGCCGCAGCCGACGCTGCCAAGCAAGCTGGTGTTAAACAAGTGAGCGTCAGTATCAGTCACAGTGATTCTCAGGCTGTCGCGGTGGCAGTCTCTAAGATTTAATGTTTGCAGGAAATACGGGGATATAGTTGATCGTGTTGATGTATAGAGTATACTTTTTTATGTTATGGAATATCACGTAATTAGATTCTTTCAAGTGACTGGTTTCAGCGATTTAAAATCCGGTCCTTTTCCTTCATAGGTAGAAAGAGGTCCAGAATTCATTCCTTCAGTAGTTGGTTTGACCTGTGCTCCGTGCATACTGACTGCTTTGCTTCATGCTCTCGGCCACACAGTTCATAAAGATAAAACCCACATGATACGTGTACAAGGAAGACCTAAAATCCTGATGACGATTCCCATCCGCTGATAATGCGAAGCTTCAACATGTTTTCTTTTACTTTTCCAAGTGCTTCTCTGCAGTCGTTACATTCCCCGCATGATCAATTACGTGTGTGAGACTGTGATTCTCGACATCATGTACGCCACTCAGCGCATGAATACTTGAACACCCTTCTCATGTCTTAGTCTTCTGGTAGAGGCGATCTCCTTCTGATCGAAAGCCTGGATGTACGTTTCCGAAAGTAAAATCACTGAGCTAACCGCAGAACGTTCAGACCACGACCAATTGGGTTCCATGGTAGCAGACTCCCAGAAGTACATCGGCTTAAATGGGCGCCGACAATCTTCACATATATGTACGCCGGGCGACATGTTATTTAGCATTATGACGAGGATGATATGGTGCGTTGGCAAATATGTTTTCATACTCATGCTATAGTACAGTAAAAGTCCTCGATACAGACAGGATTGGTATTCGTTAATCATCCAGACGCCCGGTTGAGAGGGCCCCAATTAGCCCGAGGATTGATCTGATACCGGACAAGCCGTTTCTTGGAATGAGATGCTTCTTTGCCCAAGGCTTCATCAAAGATGACCTCTAACGTGCTCAGATCTTGCTTAATGGCAGGTGCTGTCTGTGAGCGCTGGGGCCCTTCGACCTGATTCTTTTCCGTATGTTGCTCGCGCAGCTCCGCGCCTTGGGTGCCCGGAGAGTGTCTATGGCCAGAGCGGTAGAGCGCAGCTTCGACTTTCGTCACTAGGTCAGTAATATCCTTTCCGCTTTCAGCCGCAGACACGATCTCTTTCCTCAATATATCGAGGGAGTCCTCTCCTTTATCTTTTCGAGGATTTTCTCGACTCTTCGCCATGATCGCCGCTCCAGGAGTGCCAGGGCGGATTGCTCCTTCTTTGACAGGGGCTTTCTGTCTCACCCACTCTCTCATGATTTCCCAAATGACTTCCCAGGGTGCATCTGTACGAATGGTATTTGGCTTTGCATGACTGCGCGTTGATCGATAGCCCAGGGAACGAAGGGCTCCGCGAAACGCATCAGCTGATATAGTCGATGTGTGTAGTACTTTTGCCAGAGAACTGAGAGTGAAATAGAACGGAAACGGATCCCGAACGGCCGGATCCGATCGAGGAATAATGGCCGAAAATTCGCGGGAAGTGGAGATTTCCGTGACCTTCTCGTCAGCCGCAAGGGTACCGGTCGGGGCAGAACTTGAGATTGTGTCCAGGTCCAAATCCTCTTCAAGAGCCGTGGTTAACATGCCCTCAATCCGCTCGACGGTATGGTAAATATCTCTATCAACATCGGGGAGCATGTCAAGAATCCTCTGGATGAAGTGAGGGTTATGAAGTGGCCCAGCCCACATCGGGCCACCCACATGAGTTTTGAAGCCGCAGTGTTCACAATGTGTGCCCGCAGTAGGTCCTTGAGCGAACCCATAGTGATAGAAAGGATTCCCTTTCTTGTCCAATCTCTGCTTCGTCTGTGTCAGAGGCTGCGTTGCCCATGCCCCGCAACCAGAGTCGCAGTTGAAAACTAACATTGTGTTACCCGAGGCAAACTTGACCTCTGCCGGCGATCGATGAACGCGAACAAAAACACGTGCATAGAAGTCGATGGACAAGGAGAGAAGCGGTTCGATTGCAAGCCCATATTTCGCGGCCGACGTCGCCAGTCCGTGTAGTATAAGGCGCAGTCCACCTTCGTGAGAATGCGATCCTTTGATGGGGACACCTCCGTATAAGGCATATGCCTTTTCTGGGTAACCGTTGGATGCCCATACGCCCGCATCGGTGCAAGTGACACAGAGAAGACCTCCGTCTTTGACACCTTGAACAGCAGCATCCATAAACGGAGCCGCGGTACCGTAAGGATCTAGGTCAATGACATCAAACTTGCCTGCGTGAGTTTCGCTGCTCTGTGTGCTTGGTTGGTTTAACAGGCTGTACATGTACGCACGTGCATCTCCAAGATTGGGTCGAATGAGCTTTCCAAGACCATTGTATTCGATGTTCGTCTTCATCCTTTGAATCGCAGAGCTTGAGAGATCATTCGCAACCACGCAGGTAGTGAAGGGAATTTCTGAGGCATAGCGTAGAGCCCGGAGACCCGTAGCGGAGAGCGCGTCCAAGATTGTGAAGGACGGAGTATGCTGATCAGAAGTTGAAACAGAAGCACCGAGGTTCCCATTCGCCGCAGACGATTGCTCGATATCTCCGTGAGCTTTTTCCTTGTCATATTCGTCTTCCCTCTTGCGCTTTTTCCCCCTGCCGGAGCCATTCCGTTTCCTCTCGGCTTTCAGCTTCTTGAGGGCCAGAACATGCTCACCATAGGCTTTGATCGCCAAAACACTGAGATCCCGGTTGAATTGCTGGATGGGATTGTAGAAGACAGATTGCAACTGGTCTTCAGGTTTGAGGTCCTTTTTCGTCCCCTTGGAAGCTGCAGCCTGGGTGGGCGGGTTCAGAATGTATGCTTGACCTTCTTTCACAGCCTGGTATTCCTGCCCGTCATGCTGCACCAGTCGACTGGCACAATCGGCTGCTGTTGGACCCTCCATGAGTGAAGATAAGGGGTAATAAAATCGGGGGGAGACTATGCCTGAGCGACGGTGGGGCACTGCATATATCATCGAGGGATGCGGAAAGCCAAGGAAATCAGGTCTTCTGTTTCCAAAGATAGATCGGAATATTGTCAGGCGTTGGTACCTTCTAAGTGAATTCATCCACATCGGCTTCCGGCTGGCAAGAGTTGAATCAGGGCCATTGACAAGCTTGAGCTCCGCAGGCTTGTTGCGGGGAGCAGAATACAACAGAAAAAAAAAAAGGTCAAGAAAAGGTACAACGCACGGACCCGACAACCATCAGCATAACCATATCATTTCAACAATGAACGACATCTAGTGACATCTTTTAAGTATTATCTGCTTGTCAGTACGGAGGGTTTAACTCTATCATATAGTCTGTAGGATCGACTATTGCGGCAGTAGATGTACTGCAATGCATATGTCGACATATTATTGATTATATTTCCTACTACTGTACACACCTTCTGAGAGCAATCGCTCCCAGACTCTGTCAATTATACATAATGAAACTAGGTCATAACCAGGCTTCAATGACGGGCACTCGGTCATACATACCATCCCAGCTGCTCGCTTCCCAACCGGATCCTCGTCCTCCAAGTCCGATAATTCCAAGCGCGCCTGCAAGCCAAACAGATGCGCCTACCACTGCAATGCCATTGACAATCCACCAGATCTTTCTCTGCTTCTTGATTCGTTGCTCACTGTCTGCATGACCTAGGTACCCTTCAAGTGAGCCCTTTTTGTGTCTTCGTTCCTTCCTGGCTGTGGTGACTCTCCATCCCATCCAATTTGCCCACCCTCCAACGACATGCCATACTCCAACAGCGACAAATATCAAGTAGTAAATGTTCCAGAAAACCGGGCTTCGCGCAAATCCATGCGCAACATACCCAAGGCCGACTCCTGAGCTTCCACCGTCGACCATCAGCGGCACGACCCGGTTGACAAGAACATGAGCACCGAGCAACGGGACAAGTATATAGCCTAAGCGCGCTTGCAGGGTCATACGGGGCCAAAAATTGAGTGAGTACCGTTGAGACCTTGTCTCGGCGCCGTAAAGTCGTGCCCTACGAGAAGAACGGATGTTCCGTAGGACGATCCCGGAAGCAACATGGGCCAGGATGGGAACGGTAAGGATGGCGTGCTCAAGAGTTGGAGACTGGTACAAAGGTCTTGTGAGGAGGAGATAGTTTTCAGCGGCAGGCACGGAGCGGGTCATCAGAGGAATAAGCGAGGTATTGGCAAAGTGTAACGTGAAGAATAAAGTTGGCGGGTATGTAGAATATCTCTGAATGGCGGACACTGCAGGTTTACTTATTAGCTTACACTTGATCAACAGATGAACCGAAGCGTTTTCTCTTCCAACATACACCAAGCATCCCAGTTATGCCCGCGGAGGCCCAGTGTGGGAATAGACAATCCGCCATGTGCTGGAGCGTCTTGGGCCTTATGGAAGTAGTCGCCGCTTTCGATATCACCAAACTCTTCATGGACTGGAGAGGGATCTAATTCCTGCATGGAAATCAAGGATCGTGTATCAACATCATCGACCTTCGGCAACGACAGATCTTGGGGCGGCATTGTATATCACGAACGAAATATCTCTCTGCTAAAACTAGGAAGGAAAAAAAAAAAGAAATGATGATGAATCAAATGAATAGTACAATGAATATTAAAAGATCCATAAGTTCATCGCACCATCACTATCATGAGAAAGCCTGGAAAGCCTTAGCCAGCACTGGAAATGACCCTCTTTAGTATGTTGTTGTATCTCCTACGAATGTCCTGTGCCTTGCTTTTTTTGGTTATGCAGTCAGACTGCACTATGATTGGCTTGTCACTTTTTTCACCGCTCAACCTGAACCAACCTTAGGTACTAGGTAAATATCGACGGTACCTATTTACTACTTATGCCTGCCAGGGAATTGACAAATGATCAATACTCAAGATAGATACCTCAAGGTCTATTCTGATATTTACAGCTGCAGAGGATATCCCCAGTGCATGAATCAGTAAAGCTACCTCGCAGGCTGAGTACGGCGGTGAGATGTATTATTCTGTCGGCAGAATAAAGTAATGATAAGATACGGTAGGCGTCGATGAGTTCCAATACCAACATATACCAGTTACTGAATCAACCGGTTGATCGTCTGCTATTCATCTCCTCCCGTAAAACTCGTCAAGTATATCTTCGCAATACCCTTTGATCTTTGACCTGGCCTGTTATATGAGTTCAGACAGCCATGGCACCGGTATGCTTCCTGAAATGCGTCTCCTCTGAACGGTGGTCGACTTTCGACCTTGATATCCTGTCATCCTCCTTGCCATTTTGGAAACTTTCAATGTGACGTTACTGATTTCTCATTGCTTCTATCTTGTCTGTACTAGCGAGGGTTCACAAATCCTACTCCAAAGGTAAATCATGGTTTGAAATCCAATGGCTGTTCAAAGCCTATTGAGAAACCGCTAAAAAAACCCTTTTGCGCACAATTTCAGACCGAATCAGCCCGCTCTGCTTTGAGCTCCTTCACATGTACCCTTTGCAATAAATCTTACTCGCGCCATCCAGAATATGAAGCTCATATCTCTTCATACGATCACCAACATCGCAAGCGCCTACAAGATCTGAAACAATTGTCGCGAGATCCTCATGCTGCTGAAAAGGCAAGAAGGGCCGAGAGAAAGGCAGATGCAGAGGCGGGACTGAGAGTTATCGGGATGACCCCTGGAGCAGGAGCCGGGGGGCCGTTGGGCACCAGTGGGGGAGGAGGGTTCAAGAAAGGAGGTTTCAAGAGCTCCTTTACCACGGTCAAAGGACCAGTATCTGCTACTGTGTCTACGAGGAAGAATGTCCTAGGGGATGACGATGACGCCGATGAAGCGGCGGAAGCGGGTGAATTGAGCGAATTTGCTAGGACCAAACCCGGACAGAATACGGACGCTCAACCCGACAATGCAGAGAGCGATACTGACGAGGAGTACACAAGCGGCGGTATGGGGGCCAGTTACTATGATCCCCGAAAACCTACCGACTGCTCGTCACGGTGCCCGGGGTTTCAGCATGAGCTTACCATAGCATGAATGATGTTGCGTTGCCACCGATTCGCCATAAAGTAGATGCTATGGGCGCTGCATATGATTATGCTAGCATAAATTTCGGAGTTACGGGTTTCGTTCGTCTGAGTGGGTATTTTTATTATTCATGTACATAGTTACAATCTCGAGGCAGCATTGCTGGCCATGACATCTTCGCGCTTCAACCTGAGTTGAATGCAAATTCTGTAAACATAGATAATACTTTAGCCTTCCTATCCTTCTTGGTTGCCAAATTCTTTTGTTACTGCTCAAAGTCCTGTGGATCGAGTGGATGATACAGAAAAGAAGATGGACAAACGCTGAGAAATTGAATTGAAGTCGATTCTCTAGTGTAGTTGTACAGTTTCGTATATGGTTAATTTCGACTAAGAACAATGAAAAGGCTTGCAATAGAAAATGGTACTAGACGCATGATTTTGATCCCTTCGAAATCTTGAAACACCTCCACTTTATCGCATAAAGCCAATTCACAGTCGTAGAAGCTTGGCAGCCTGGCCAACGATAGTATCCTCTTGAGGGAAGCTCATCTGCTCAAGACCGGCAGCGTAAGGTGTAGGCACCTCAGCGCCGGTCACACGAACAGCAGGAGCAGTGAGGTAGTCAAAACCATACTCCATGGACAAGGCGAGGATTTCGGACCCGACACCGAACATGGGGAAGCCGGATTCGACGCACATCAGGCGGCCGGTCTTCTTGAGCGACTGAATGATTGTCTCAACATCGAGCGGCTTAACGGACCGAAGGTTAATGACTTCAGCTTCGACCCCATATTTCTGCTTCAGCTCAGCGGCAGCGTTGAGCGACTGTCCAACGCAGCGGGAGAGAGAAACAATGGTCAGATCCTTTCCGGGACGCTCGATCTTGGCCTTTCCAAGAGGAAGAACGAAGTCATCCTTCTGAGCAGCCTCGCTCATGGGGAATGCTTGACCATACAAAAGCCTAAGTAGATGTCAGCTCAATTCCGGCGATGTCAAGCGATTCTGGTAGCACATACTCATTTTCAAGGACAACGACAGGGTTGGGGTCACGGATAGCGGCCTTCATCAGACCCTTGGCGTCCTCAGCGCTCCATGGAGCGACAACCTTCAATCCAGGAATGCTGCCGTACCAGGCGGAGTAGTCTTGGGAGTGCTGAGCGGCGACACCAGCAGCGAACCCGTTGGGTCCACGGAAAGTAATGTTGCAAGGCTGAATACCTCCAGACATGTAATGTGTCTTGGCGGCGGAGTTGATGATTTGATCAATGGCCTGCATAGCAAAGTTGAAGGTCATGAACTCGCACTGTAGATACGAAGCAACCATCAGTCTTCGAGGTCTACCCATCAATGGGTAAAATTTTGACTCACGATAGGATGCAGTCCAGCGAGAGCGGCGCCAACAGCCAAACCACAAAAGCCTGCCTCTGTGATGGGAGTATCAATAACCCTCTTGGGACCAAAGCGGTCCAATAGACCTCTCGTCACTTTGTATCTGTGGTGATGAGAACAAGGTCAGAAAAGAAGAATCCCAGTATAGCACGTCATTGCGATTGAGATATGGAGCAAAAGCAAGCAGTTAAGAGAAGGTAAACCCATACGCTCCATTGTATTGCGCAACCTCCTCACCCAGGATAAATGTCTTTGGGTTACTCTCCAGCTCCTCCGCAAGGGCCTCGTTCAATGCGTCTCTGACAGTAACTTCCTTAGTACCGCTTTCCGTCGCATATCCCCGAGCGCGTAGGATCGAGGGCGCACAGGCGGACTTCTGGAAAGTAGAGCGGAAAGGTGTAGCGGAAAGTCGAGATGAAAGCAGGCGAGCTGCTGGGCGGAAAAGTCGGGGGGCAGCCATTGCCGTTTCAAAGAGTGTAATTCCAGGAGTGAAAAGAAGATATGACTTCAGACAGGTTCTCCTGCGGATGAAGATGATGATTTGAAGGAGACTCGCGGGAAGAAATCAGCCCCAGTACCTCCTAACTCCGTTTCGGACCTGGCCGTCGATAAGTTTTTCGGTTTTGGTGAGAGCTTCGAGACTGTTGGGCTAGCGATGACTAAGCGCCGCCCTCACCGGCACCTTCTTCCGTATTATTGTTTATCCATGGCCATCAAGGTACAGATAGCTATCGGGAATATGTATACTAGCTATCTACTATCTCTCCTTTGGATGGAGAGACGAGCTGCAGCTTACTGATTTCTTCCCAAATCTCTTGATGGTGGGGTTCATTGCACTGACCACAATGAAGCACCTTTGCTACTGTACTTTTCTTCTCATTTCATCTTCACCCTGCCTAGCTGTTCAGCCATCAACCCCAGATGCCAAACCAGCACCCATTCGCGATCTCCAATGGGGTCAGCTAAATTTCCTCCACACTACAGACACTCATGGCTGGCTGGCCGGTCATCTACAGGAGTATGGCTCTGCCATCTAATGTGCCTTGTTGATGCTCGCTGATGCAGACCGAAAAGGGCTTCCTATGGAGCAGACTGGGGAGATTATGTTTCTTTCACCACCCGCATGCGGGAAAAGGCACGCGCTGAAGGGAATGATTTGCTGGTAATTGACACTGGTGATAGGGTTGAGGGGAACGGGCTTTATGATGCTTCGGACCCGAAGGGCGCCTACATCTCCGACATTCTGCGTCAACAGCAAATTGATGTGATGTCAGCCGGCAATCATGAACTGTACAAGCAGAACAGCTCGGAGACCGAATTCTTGACTACTGTGCCCAATTTTCATGGTAGCTACCTGGCGTCGAACATTGACATCCTTCATCCAACTACCGGAGAACTCGTGCCGTTAGCTCCACGCTTTAAGAAGTTCACGACCGAGAAGCAAGGCATCCGCATCGTCGCTTTTGGATTTCTTTTTGATTTCACGAAAAACTACAACAACACAATCGTTTACTCGGTGGAGGATACCATTAAGACAAGCTGGTTTCAAGAAGCCATTCGTGACGAAGAAGTCGATCTCTTCCTGGTGATAGGCCATGTTCCGGTTCATTCGAAGGAGTATAACGCTGTTTTCGAAGAGATCAGAAATATTCATTGGGATATGCCGATTCAATTTTTCGGCGGCCATTATCATATCCGCGACTATGCACGGTACGATTCTAAAGCGTACGGGCTAGCGAGCGGCCGCTTCATGGAAACCATTGGATTTATGTCAATCGATGGTCTGTCCACCAGCAAGAATCGGATCAAGCCTGCGCAAGCGACTCCCAGCTTCAGCCGACGGTATATTGACAACAACCTTTACTCGTTTTACCATCACACCGGTCTTGACCGGGACTGTTTTCCCACAGATCATGGTCGAAATGTATCACATCTTATTCAGCAGTCCAGGGATGCCCTTCAACTGGATAGGGTTCATGGTTGCGCTCCTCAGGACCTCTGGATGACCCGAGTGAAGTATCCTTCTCAGGACAGTATATATACATGGCTCGAAAGGGAAGTGCTTCCTAATCAATTGAAGGATGACTCTCGCAATGGGAAGCCCGCGTTGGTCATTGTCAACACTGGGGCCATCCGCTTCGACATATTTAAGGGTCCGTTTACGCAAGATACGACGTTCATTGTCTCTCCCTTCACGAGCGGCTTCCGCTATATCAAGGATATCCCCTACGAGAAAGCGCAGTCGGTAGTAGAAGTTCTGAACAAGCAGCCGCAGATTTTGACTGCGCCTAAGGACCGCTCAAATTACACACCATGGACTCTCGCGCCGCCAGAGCAATCAATGTATATGCACGACAAGGTTGTGGAAAGCGACAATGTGGCTACTCACTATCTTACTGATCAGAGTCGGCTTCCAATGAGCGGCCCATTCACGCCTGAGGTTTTTCCTGGCTACACCACTGCAGATGATGGGGGTATAGATGGGGATGACACAGTTCATTCGCCAATATCATTTTACCGTGTTCCAAATTGCATTCAAGCTCTCATCTCTCCAGGTACATCTGCAGATCCGAAGACAGTGGATCTTGTGTATATTGATTTTATCGAACCCTATGTGGCTCTGGCCGCCAAATTTGCGAGCCTTGATCTTGATTTTTCACGGGATAGTGACGTTTATATGCCCTTCACGACGTTAACTGATCTTATTATGGACTGGGTCAAGAATAACTGGAGGTGCGAAGATGCATGATTGAGTTTCTAGTTCCCTTCACATCCCTGTTTGTGCCAATGGAATCAGTAAATGATCTGAATTACTATAGCCTATTATGATTGCGTACATGCAATTAATATACTATTTATACCATCATCCACAGTAATTATTCATCCCCTTCGTATTTTAACAAGCCTTTACCTTTGCGGAATCCACTTAGAGTTTCCTGCACACCTGCAGCAAGCTCAGAGCCTTCGGTTTCCCAGGTCCATTTGATGTATTCCACAGGGATATCTTTGAATTTGCCGGTTCGAGTCAACTCCAGCACATCATTGATTGTGTTTTCCTTGAGTTCAGGGTGTTTGTCTCCCCATTTGCTCACCCAAAAACCGTCGAAAACAAGGTTCTTGAAGATCAGAAGTCCAGATGGCAAGGCGACTGGCTGTTTTGACATCGCACCATAAGTGACCAGATGCGAACCTGGAGCGAGCGTCTTCGCCAGGGCAGTGGCACTCTTACCACCCACGCAGTTGAGAGCTAGTCGAATTGGTTCCTTTCCTTGACGGGTGATTTCATTCACCATGTTCTTAAATTCTCCAGATAGCAGCTCGGCTTCGGTAACCACCGCATTGGCCCCCAGCTCGTAGAGCTCCTTTTTCAAAGCATCAGTTTGTTCAGGTGTCTTTCTCTCACGAACAACATTGAGCGTTTTGATGCCCCATTCGCGTGCAAGTTGGATTGCAGCTCGTCCAACACCGCTATTTGCTCCGTTCTGGATGAGCCACTCTTCTCCAGCCCGCATCCAGTCCCAGTCACAGAAATCTTTGATCATTCGGTAGGCAGTCACCGGATTGACACTGACTGTGCTGACCTGAAGCGGGCTTAGACCTTCTTTGCTTTCAATCTTGATCAGCTGCGATTCATCTAATTGCGCGTGGGTGCGCCAGGTGCCTTGTCCTGTTTGCTTCATCACGACCCAGTCGCCTTTGGCAAGATTTTTGACGTTGGAGCCAGTGGCAATGACCTCGAATGCGCCCTCGTTTCCCGCTACGGCAGACGGTTCCTCTGTGCCAAGCGTGGTCTGGAAGGGCGGTTTGCTTGGGTATACACCTTGGATCTGGTTCACATCGGCCGGGTTCAAAGGCGCTGCTAGAAGGCGGAGAGTGACTTGTGTCCCATGAGGAGGAGAGATCGAATGCTTGTGAAGCCTGGATGAGGGAAAAATAAGTTGGGCTGCCGATCTATTTTCCCAGCAGTTGCGTTCTAAGTGCTCTTACCGTAGAACATCCTTCGGTTCACCATATCGCGAATAGACTAGAGCCTTTGATTGCGTGTAACCATATACTGAGATGAATCTCTTTTGCCCCGAATGCGTGTTAGGTAATAGGTCTCCATGCTGGCCGGATGGCGCTGGAAAGCGAAGAGGCGAAGCTCTGCCTCTGAGGGCAAGGGAAGCACTGATACTGGAAGATCTGGTAGCTGATCGCACCACGGCACAAGAAAGCATAGTGACGTTTGGGGGTCTCGAACCCTTCTTTGAATGTCAATTGATTTCAAAGACTCAGGTAAGGTCAAAGAAGCAGCTTCGTGGAGCAATTGTTACAATTGTTGTCGTTGCTCTCGCTGGCGGCATGGAAGAAAACCCGGATGACGTCGTTTCCTAGCCGTCGGGCCGAAGGAGGAAAGCTGGGCTTTGTCATGATAATAGATACTAATTCGTGTTTATAGGCAGATTGTTGCACATTGGGATGCTACATGGGCTGAGAATATGGACGGACACGCCACTGCAGATTCTTTATCATCTAATATTTTCTTCCTGGAGGACATGGAGTGCCTGGTTTGCTGGCGTCGGTCTTCCAATGTATATTTTACACGTAGGCATGCGCCGGCGCAAAGAGGCTATCTAGTAGAACGATCAAATTCAACTTGAGTGAACCATTATCAGGCGAAATGGTTCTCTCAATTCCTTCATACTCCGACGACTACGGAGGGCATTTGATGAAGTCGTGCCGATCAGATACCGAATCCTCGCGAGATTGCTCAAAACAACCATCCCGACACTTCGCCGAAATATGGTGGACTTCCTACCCACCGCATGTACCTAAAGTCTCCCGTCTCCCGAGCCTCTGCCATCGCTATCCCTGCTACCACCTACCATCACCGCTCAGGATATCTAAATGTCCTTGTTGCGGGAAGCTGAGAAATGTATCACTAACCAAAGGTCACATGCCGCTCTCAATGCCTTCATAACAACTGTGCAGCATCCAGGACCATGGCAAGAACAAGTGAGAGATGCAGAACTTAGGAGAGAGTCGGGTAAGATCGCAGCTCTGTATTGTTCTGTTTTCTCTCTGGACTCATTCGGGAACTGACGCATGCTTTTGAGACTAAAAGGAAAATCGAAATCCAAGGTTGACGGTCGCTTGATTGCCTTTAAAGACAATATTTGCACACGCGGTTTTCCGACAACATGTGCCTCAGGGATTCTGGCTAAATTCACCAGTCCATTCAATGCGACAGTGGTGGAACAGCTGTCGGAAGCCGGCGCTATAATAGCTGGTAAGACAAACTTGGATGAATTTGGGATGGGATCTCATTCTATCAATTCATGGTTCGGGCCCGTCAGAAGTCAGCGTCAGAACCATGATGGACGAATTCTCTCAGCTGGTGGAAGTTCTGGTGGAAGCGCCGTCTCCGTCGCTACAGATCAATGTTATGCGTAGGTGCTTTTACTCCCGAATTAGTTGAATTTCCGTCCTTGCGAGGCATGCCGGAGTGCTGAACAGGGCGTTATAGGGCTCTTGGAACAGACACTGGTGGTTCGGTTCGACTTCCAGCTGCCTACACGGGCACAGTCGGCTTTAAGCCGTCTTATGGATTGGTCTCGAGATGGGGAGTCGTGGCATACGCTAACTCACTGGATACTGTTGGCATCCTGGCCAAAAATACCTCCAGGGCTCGCGATGTATTCCGTATGTGTCTCTGCACTACCCTCTCGCGATGTATCCGTTTGCATTGGAATCTAACAGCTCGAACTCAGGCATTGTGAATCGGCACGATCCACGCGATCCTACCAACTTGTCTCCTCGCTCTCGGTCTCGCATAGCTTCGCACCTCCAGCAATCCGCTCTCGTGTCTCGAATGACCTCGTCTCCTTTGAGGATCGGCGTTCCTATTGAATACAACATATCCGAACTCTCTGCTTCGGTGCGACGCGCCTGGGCTCTCTCGATAGCTTTTCTGAGAGAGCAGGGCCATACAATTCACCCTGTCTCACTTCCCACAACAAAGCTAGCTCTCTCAGCATATTACGTCCTTGCCCCAGCCGAAGCATCCTCAAACCTCGCTAAATATGACGGCATCAGATACGGTTCTCGCTGCAACGGTCCGGATTCTGGTGGACAACCCGACAGCTATCTATACGCCAAAACTAGAGGGGACGGATTCGGTCCCGAAGTAAAGAGGCGAATCCTACTCGGCGCCTTCAGTCTGAGCGCCGATGCCATAAGCAATTACTTTATTCAAGCGCAGCGCATCCGCCGACTGGTCCAGCGCGATTTCAATGCTGCCTTCAGAGCAGAGCAACCGATGGCCCCTTCCCGCCGGAATGTAGATTCTGAGTTGAAATCAAAACAAGCAGATGTCGACGTCCTGATCTGCCCCACCGCCCCTTCGTGTCCTCCACAGTTAGCAGACCTGCTTGAAACAGATTCCGTTTTCTCGTCCTTGAACGCATACACGAATGACGTGTTCACAGTACCTGCAAGCCTGGCTGGTCTACCAGCTGCGTCTGTTCCGGTCAGTGTCGGCTGTCGGGACGAAGGTTCTGGCGATGCAAAACTTGCTGGAATACAAATTATCGGACAATACGGGGACGATGAGCTTGTTCTTAGAGTGTCGGAGATATTGGAGGGCAAAATATTTTGATGTAAGGTAGCCTTGTCTTTCACCTCGATACCCTTAATCAATCTCTAGTTGCCGACTACATAGCTCACCCTAGACCCAATTCCAAGCGAGGTTTAGTGGAGCAGAGCACGTAATATACATTGTATTCGAACACCTTGAAGTTTCAAGACCGAGATTGTAAAAACCATATCAGCTGTACTTGTTCCGGCAATCTATTGTGGAAGTTTTCTTCGATCTTGAATATTTATTCATATGTATTAGCGGCCTTGCTTCCTACGAGCATCCCTCGTCCGAAAGCTATGTTTAACTGATTGAAAGATCTCTAGAGGAACTGAATCTGAAATGGCGGGAGACAGATACGGCTCGGACCAAGCCAATGCCAGCCTGATCACGAGGACATATGGGTCTCAAGTCAGAACATCTCAACGTCTTCTGTCGCGGCTGTGTTCTCTAAAGGAGCTGAGGGTGTCCCGGCGTTGAGAGAACCCTCCTGGCCCACACCGAGAGCATCGTCGGTCGGCAAATGGCCTGCGCCCACGTTGGTGACGGCGGCTTCCAATCCATTGAGAACATTTTCCGTGTCTCCAAATTCTGCGTCAGGAACTGAATCCATTCGAGGCTCAAACGCTGCTCCGACTCCGCCCTTCAGAACTTCGGATCCTCTAACGGCACCGGCGCCGGCGCTGTCAACTTCTGCATTGCCAACAACATCACCGTCGACACCACCCCAAATGAGCATTGCTTCGACCTCATCAACAATATCAGCCACGACGTCTTCAGCAATCTGCTCATTGAAGCGTTCGCCGATCCCCCGGACAGGTTCGCCATTCTCTGCGTGAGACGGTGGTCCAACCCACCAGGGTCCTTCAAAGCGACATTCCACGGCACCACCGCCATAGCAGCTGACAGCGGGGTAGTAGCCAATCATTCCGTCATCGGCGTTCTCTCGCTCACCAATGCCTAGGTTATTGGTTCCGTTCGCAAGTCGGCTGGCCGGTGGAAGGAACGCATACAATCCTTTGAATGGAGTACCCATCTTCTCTCCATTTTTGAAGATTGTGATGCTCGAACCTGGCAGCGTGCGTAGAGAGGGGTCTTCGCTGTTGAAAGGCGACGGTGGACCAAATGTGGGT